GAAGCCCGATGTGGGACTCGATCCCGGGACTCCAGGATCATGACCTGAGCCGAAGGCAGTCGCTTAACCAACTGAGCCACCCAGGCGCCCCCCCAATTTTTTTTTTTTTAAATCTATGCAAGGTTGTAAGATTGTATGTTCAAAGACAGGAGAGACAGGTTAACATTAAAGTGAAACATCATGATGCTTTGAAAATGTCAATTTTTAGGAACCTGCTGTGTGTGTGTGTGTGTGTGTGTGTGTTTGTGTGTGGACACACTGAGGAGCTGATTAAAACTACAATGGAAATTACCATCCCAGATGCCCAGGCTTCATACCCACCAAGCCAGAATTTGGGAGACTGGGGCAAGTTAGCTTCCTTTTGGAATGTTGTAGTGACTCTGATACACACCCAGGGTTGAGGGCCACTGATTTGCACTATCATTTTGATTCAGGCATGTTCTTCAACTGTTTTTATCCTCTACCATATCGGGACTCCATGACCATGCTAGGATTCTATATGAAGTTAAAAACAGATGACGAGAAGGATCCTGACCAAGCAAGGAGGTCACTAATAGTGTTCCTCAGCCTTTGTTAGCACCTCCTAAGGAGCCTTTGCAAGACATGTTATTCCTTATTGCCCCCTTACGTACTGTATGAGTATCTGTGCTTTGTACATGCAGAAAGAGTAAGATTATATCCTCACTTTGGGGGCAACATCGCCCCTGTTGAGAATGCACACTGTAGCGGAAGAGAGGTCTTTGAAGAGGAACATGGAGATTTTTTTTTTCATGGATCACCTCTGGAATAGTGATGATTACCACTGGGCATTAACTGTGTGGGAAGCACTTTTCTGAGCAGCTATGTGATTCTCACAGCTATTCTCTAAGTCCTGGTAACGTTTCCAAAGCCCCATGAGGTTAAGTAATTTGCCCAGAGCCACAAAGCTAGTCCTGCTGGATCCAAACCCAGACCAGCAGATGTGAAAGGCTGCGCCCTCCCGCCTCTCATCATTAATCCCAGAACCCAGCATCATAAAATGCCTTAAAGGAATCTGGAACCTTGGCACGGTTGGACGTGCACTCACTCACTGCCAGTGTCACTTGACTGTTCCAGCCCCCCTGTGACCCCTCTCATCTATGCAGAACACCGGTCTTCTCCCCTCGGAGAAGCGAAAGATAATGGGGACATCGGGAAACAGGAAAAGGGCTTCGTTCCCCAGATCTGGCCTCCTCCCCTGATCCGCAGGGGCGACGAGGCTGCCTTCACACGCAGAGTCGGCTCTTGGGTAGAATGAGAAGTGAGAAAAAGCCACTGCCCCTCGGAGGTTTGGAGCTCTTCTCAAAATGGGTGTGTTTCCCTAAGAAACCTGTTGTGAGAGGCAGTTTGAAGAAACCGTCCTCCAAATTGATTGTCCATGTTCCCCAAAACCGTCCTTGATTTGGAGGAGTTCATGGTCCCTGTTTCTTACTGTCACACTCAAATCTTCAGAAAGAGACAGAAAGCTGCTGTCTCTCCTGGATCGTGAAAGCAGACGCGTCGCTGTGAGCTTGCTCGTGCTTTGGTTCGTGGTTTTGGAGCGTGTGCAGCACACGAGTGTTTAAAGCCTCACTTTCTTCCTGCGGCACGTGCTCGCCTCCTGTCTCACCCCATCTCCTGGTAGATAGAGGCCTTCTGAAAGCTGGGACTGAGGAGCTGTGTGTCCCTCGGGGCCCCTTACCCAGCTGATACTCTCCGTGAAAATCGATTGTTAGGCTGTCTGTGAGAACGTTTAAGACATGTGCTGACTCGCTAAGTGCTGTCAGCCCTCCTGTTGCTTTTGTCTCTGGCAGTTGGTTTGTTGTTGGTGGTGCCCTGCTGCTCCTCAGCCTGTCGATTGCATGTTACTGCATCCTCTACCTGGAGTGGTGTCGTGGAATTGAAGATTATGACGTCAAGTACCCCACCTTGATACCCATTACAACCGCTACTTTTATTGCGGCCGGGATTTGGTAAGTTAACTTTGAAATGACTAACAGGAATAAAACGGTTTTTGATTGGTGCTGATGTACATGGTACAAAACTTAAAGGAGTAACGGGAAAATGACCTCCTGTCATTGCTGGTCTTGGAGTCCCTTTCCAGTAGGATCTTTCTTTATATATTTAGCTCCTTAATATGCAAATGGTGACATGCTATATATATTCTGCATTTTGCTTTTTCAGTCATTTTCATTGTGAAACATAATACATATAGAAAGTGGAAAAAACTAAACTGTACAGCTGAACGAGTTAAGAGATGCATTGATGAAAGCCCACCCAGGTCAAGGAGAACCGTTCCAGCCCTAGAATCCCACCCCCACCCCCAGGCGCCATCCTCCCTGCCCAGGGACAGATACTGCCCCGACCCGTGTGGGACTTGCTTTTTTTTTTGCCTCTCTTAAATACTCTATTTTTGTTTTGTCCGTTTTTGAACTTGATAGAAATGGAGTCATATATTGTGTGTTCTTTTACATTTGGTGGTTTACACGTAATATTACGTATGCTATTTATTACTCTCATGCTCAGAACTTCAGAGACAGAGGGCAAGCCGCTGTCTCTCCTGTATCATGAAAGAAAACACGTCGCCATGAGTGGAGCTGTGGTTTGGACGGCGCTTTATGGGCGTGTGCAAAGCCCCACTTTTGTTCCTGCCTCGTGTCTCAGCCTCATCCTGTCTCACCCCATCTCCCGTTAGATCCGCCTTGTGTATCACGGCTGCTCACTGCTGGGTAGCATTCTGGCCTGTCACTGAATCCCAGCTTAGCGGCTCTACTGTTCATAGCATTTGAATTGTTTCCAGCTTGGTGATGTTACTAAGGATGCTGTTCACATTATGGAAGAGGACTCTCGTGCACACGTGCACACATGTCCGGATGTGTATATGCTCACACGTGTATGTACCTATCTCTAGAAGTAAAATTGCTGGCTTAGAGGTTGTACATGTCTCCAATTTCAGTAAATAGCGCCACCTCTTTTCCGAAGTGACTGTTCGTTTTTTTTTTTAATGGAGCCATGTAGTTGATAATTCTTCCATATTGGTACATATAGATGTGCCTTACTGTTTTGAATTGTTACATAGTTATTACAGAGACATAACCAGGATTTACTTAACCCGCTCTCTTGTTAGATTTAGAGTTGTTCTTACTGTTTTGCTGCTATAAAAACACCGCAGTGTCCTTCTTCTTAATAGTTATTCAGTGAGGGCGCCTGGGTGGCTCAGATGGTTGAGCGTCTGCCTTTGGCTCAGGTCATGATCCCAGGGTCCTGGGATCGAGTCCCACATCGGGCTCCCGGCTCAGCGGGAAGCCTGCTTCTCCCTCTGGTTCTCTCTCTCTCTCTCTCTCTGTCTCTCATGAATAAATAAATAAAATCTTTAAAAAAAATAGTTATTCAGTGAAAAACATTGATTTTTTTTAATGTGTATAAAAGTATACTTGCTCACTGAAGAAAAACCTATTACAGAAAAACACAAAGGAAACAAATCACCATGACCCTGCTAGGCAGAGAGAAAAACTACTCTTATTGTTGTGTGTATTCCTGTAGCTTTTTTCCTTTTTCTGTAATAACTGAATTTTGATTTTGGAAAAACCATATACTTTTGTACATGTTCAGTTTAAATGCATGTTTTTTATGATGAATTTTCTGTATTTGAAGTTTAAGGGTATTGACACCTATTAACCTTGTAATGTGGACATTACTAACCCTTCAGTGATGTGGGTGGACAGGTGTGCTCTTTATATAAGTAAGATCACCCCAGAAATGTTAGTTTTTAGAACAGTGGGATTGTAGCTGTTTGAAATTCTCTTTATCAAAGTGTTACACATTAAAATCTTAATTGACTACAGTTTTCGCTGAGTAACTTCTGCTTCTACAAACTCAGTCCATAAAAATCACTTGCACTTAGAAGCTGTCTTATTCTTACCTTGGTGACAGGAATAGTGTTTTTCTCAATAGGAAATTTTTTTTACTCTTTCCTTTTTTTTTTTTTTAAAGGTTTTATTTATTTATTTGACAGAGGGAGACACAGCGAGAGAAGGAACACAAGAAGGGGGAGTGGGAGAGGGAGAAGCAGGCCTCCTGCCGATCCGGGACCCTGATGTGGGGCTTGATCCCAGGACTCTGGGATCATGACCTGAGCCGAAGGCAGACGCTTAATGACTGAGCCACCCAGGCGCTCCTCTTTTTTCCAAAGATTTTATTCATTTATGTGAGAGAAAGAGATAGCAAGAGAGAGCACAAGCTGGGGAGGGGGGCGGGAAGAGGGAGAAGCGGGCTCCCCACTAAGCAGGGAGCCTGATACGGGGCTTGATCCCAGGACCCTGGGATCATGACCTGAGCCGAAGGCAGATGCTTCACTGAGCCACCTAGGCGCCCCTCAATAGGAAATTTAATAGCAACTTTTAAGTGATTATTTTTTCTTTTTGTTCCTAAGAAAATATTTGAAACTGTTTTGACCGTGATCATTTGATGGCATGTGGATCATAAAAGGCAGTAGCCATTGTCATTCCTATTCCATCACAGACACTGACTTTTCAACCCTCAGGTTCCTCTTGGGCAGCTCTCATGGGAGGACCTTTAGCGGTTCCAGTTCCAAATGCTTTTGGAAGAGTTTGTGATACTTCCACTATGGGCTAAATCACATGGTGGAGAAACATGACATGCATATAAAGTTGCTGGCTAGGTAAACTTTCCCAGACTGAGGAACAGTGGGTTCTCTAAATCTAGATTCCACCGTGGGCTGTGTGTGTAGACTGCAGCCGGAGTTGCTAACTGTGTGCGCTTTGTCCTTTTCAGCTTCAACGTTGCTCTGTGGCACGTGTGGTCCTTCCTCACCCCGCTGGTGTTGTTTACTCAGTTCATGGGGGTTGTGATGCTCATCTCACTCCTTGGATGATTTCTAAAGGTAGGAGTTCTGGAATGGTGTTTCTCATATTGAACTCATTGGAACAGTGTCTTCCTCTACGACAGTTTTCAGGTGGTGGCCCAGCCGTAGCAGACTGCTTAGCAACTGTTCAACTGTTCAACTTAGCAACTGTCCTCCGGTATGGAAAAGTTCATGCTGTAGATTATTTTCTCCTGAAGTCAGCTTCTATCACCTGATACACACGTGACGACTGGCCAGGTCGCTCTGACGGATTGGCAACCTAGGAAGAACGGGCACTCTGACCCACTCTGACAGTTCTGGCTGCTTCCTAA